TCGAGCTCTCTGATCTCGTGTCAGACTGCTATCCCATCCTCCGAGATGTCGCACCGTCTGAAGCGTTTTATGTTTTAGATCTCTGACTTTGGAGCGTGCCACTCGGGGCTTGTACTGGTTTACGACGTGGTCCATAAGCCGTGCCTCGCGTAACGCTTGCGAGACTCTTTCGTTCTCAACAAAAGGCTTATCAAACGACCACTCCTTCTCAGTAAAAGCCTGCAAAGCCTTCTTGAAAAGGTAGCCTAACTGGTTCTTGTCCACTGAGTTGAAACAAGTGCCATTTGGCATCTTAGCGCCGTTTTCAGTTCTCCATTTCGCAATCAGATCAGCACAGATCCAAACTTGATCCGACACTCCCTCGCGTCGTATCTTGATGCTGCCATGTTTTGTGCCACAAGTCGGGCAATCCACGTTCTGCGGTGTAGTAGTGTGCGCAAAACAGTGGGCAGCTGTAATAAGGTGGAATATAACACAGTCAAGTCGAGAGTGATTACCGCCGCACTTCTTACTGCTCTTACCAGAACCCTTTCCTTTTGTTTGGTTCGGTTCTGTGGACCTCCAAAGTAGGTCTGCGACGTCGAGTTTATTTCGGGTGTCCGCACCTGAAAGGGATGGCCCTTCTAAAGTGCCACCTCGCTGGTACTCGTTGTTGTAGTCCTCCTGATCGCCCTGCTCCTCATTGAGTCGGCGAATCTGGAGGTTCTTGGGTTGTCGTTCCCTATAGAATCTATCCGGATCTATTGAATGACCCACAAGTGCGTCCTTGATGACGAATTCAAGGACCTCTGAAAGACGTCGGACCGCCTCAATATCAAAGGCACGCCCGTTTATGGCTGCGTCCTGTCTCATGGTCTTATACATGTTTTCCATGAACATGCCCTGCTGTTGAAGCGGACTAAGAATTGCATGAAAGACTTTACTATCGTTGCGGCTGCTCGGATCTGAATTCGGGTAGTAGAGACGGTTCAGCTCGGAGATGTGCCCCTTCTGTTGCTGTGCCCACTGGAGGCGGTTGGCTCTCGCATTCTCAAACCTTTGTCCAATCGGCAAGCTTCTCTGCGACTGTACTTCTCGGATGACACCTCGATGCGTAAGTCTCCAGCCCTTTTCTAGTTCCGTGAACAGTGCATACGCCTTGTTTAAGTCACCGGACACCGCATTCGCAATGTCCCACGCGTCTCTTCCTACTTTCGACTCGATTTTGACGGCCTCGAAGGCAGTCTGCGTGAAGTCGAAGTCTCTGAGGAACTTCCACAGGGCTTCGCGTTCGTTCATCGTCTCCACCTGGGACATGCCTGCTTCACAGGTTATGGAGGGCGCCTGTCGCTCCAGCGGCTTGGCGCCAGACCCTCCAAGTGTGGCGGCTCCGTTAAGGCGGCGGACAATGGCTTGAAAAGTGCCGCCAGACCCGGACACAAGTGATGAAATATGCTTACTGGCCATGTTCTGGATGGTCAGTTCCAGTGGGAAAAGAGCTGAGAGATTGTCGTCAGCGACCTCTTCCACTACTATGGGCGGTGCCGAAGGCATGTTTCTGCGATAAGGCTGCATCTTCTTGGAATTGCCCATTGAAGGTGTGGGCACTCCTGCAGACACATCGCCCTTCGGCTGATGTGTCTCTGTAAAGGTCAGAAAGTTCTGGAACACAAGATATGCTTCGGACTTCTCGGCCTCCTTAGCGTTGATCTTGCCAATCTCCCCTAGGAACTTCTGCTCCAAATTATGCCTAGTAGAAATAGGCCTCAGTGCTGGTAGGGGCGGTGTAACGGGCCCACCAGCCCCGACGTCAGACCGGTTTAACTCGGGTCTGGACTGGTTGACCGATAGATGAGTGTTCGCTGGCGGTCCACTAGGTCCCATTACAAATGCTGAGTGTCCTGTTAGTTTTTCTGTCAGCCCAGGCTCCGGAAGAGCGGAGCTTGCGCTAGCGGCTGTCGAGTGTCCGCGGGTTCCTGAAGTCGAAGGTCGCGCCGGGTGATAAACCGCAGACGACGGGATAGCTGTATCTCCCTGGCCTGCTCCTAAGCTCGGGACCCCGCCAGGTGGGAGTGCCGGCGCATATATCAGGCCCATAGACGGCGACTCAGGAACCAGTCCTGGAGGATAGTGCGATGATAAGCTCGTAGTGCCGAAGTGCGGGGTTTGTGAAATCGCCTCAGCCTTCGGCGCGTTCTGTGGAGCAAGACCTTGTGCGGATGATACTACTGGGTCGCTCCGGCCGGCTGGCGGGGCAAAATCACTACGTAGTGCGGCGAATGAGCCACCTGCAACTAGCGGAAAAGGCGCCGCTGTATGTCCAGAAATAGGCAGGCGGCCACAAGATTTCCGAGGTCTGACAACACGCCAGCCAAGTTCGTCAGGTCCCGTAAGCGTGTGTCGGATCCTAAATACACCCGTAGGTGCAACCGTAGGAGACAAATACTCCGCACCACTTCCGGGCGACACTAGCGCCTTGCCCTTGTAGCCAGCAGAGACATGCTCAATGCAGATCGAACTGCCCTCACTACACCAAAGGTCGTCAGCTCCTTGCTGTTTAAACAGGTCCCAGGCCGCTGCCCAAAGCCGGAGAGACTTTCCAGAAGGGAACTCCAAATGATGCCTCATCCTCTCACTGCGAGTAGCGCGTCCTGCGGAGAACGCAGCGCCAAGCAAGACTCCGCGCAGACAAGTCAAGATGGACGTCGAAGCAGTCCCGAGCCTCGTTTTCAACATAGCGGTAGTGCGGGTCAAACACTGTTCCAGGAGTTTTCTGCTATCTCGTTGTGCGTTATTCTGAGGAATGAGAAAATCGACCCGAGGTAGTGAATAGTTGTCACCGGACCTCCCGAGCTGCGTTTCTCCTGTTATTCATACTGGAAGCCCAGAGTTAACCGCATCTGAAAACAAGTCATCGCAGTCTCTCGCCGCAAAGGCGTCTACTCTTCCTGAACCTTCAACTACTACCGGTTCCAATCGAGCTTGGTGTTCTAAAGGGTCACTTCGGATGCTTCGCTCTGTGTGAAGGTCTTCGAGAGGTGTGCAAAGGCGATCGGGGTCGTCCCGGCCGTAAGCACTCGGATAGACATCGGCGCTCAGGCCCGCCGGTCCGTGGGTGTTGGGATGGTGGCCTCGAGTCGTCTTTGAACTTTGATCAGAACCAACCTTGGTTCTGAAGTGGTGAGTTCGGCGGATCGGGGAGGTCTTCAAACTCGCCGACCGGCTCCAGTCGATGATCTTGGCAAGAGCCCCCAGCTGGCTCATATCCGAAATTTCGGGATGGCCCTCCGCCCGCATTTCTGGAATCCGGACTGTCGTTCTGAACAACCGAGTCGCACTTCCACACATGGCGGCAATCAACACGTGCTCGAGAGGCAGAGCCACTACTCCGCCCAGGATATTGTAGGGTGGAATCTGTTGCAGGCAGTTGCGGCGCTACAGGCAGGCTTTGAGCTCCAGTAGAGGGGGGGCCGAGCCTCAAGTCGTGCAATAGCATCATCGAGGATGTCCTGTCTGCGCTGGAATTCCGCCATTTGGTCCGAAAATTTCTTTGAAAACTCGGAACGGATTTCCCTTCGGGCCTCTTCGAGAAGAATCGTCTTCCAATCCTCCGTTTGTAGTTCTGGCATTTGTGCCTGATCTCTACTTCCCTGGTGTTGAGTGTGACTTTGGCCTGCACCTGCATTAGATGTGCGGTAATCTGCAGTACGGTTCGTCGCGATGTCGGAAGACCGAAAGCGAGGAGTTGGGGGAGCGTGTCTTCGATTTCTAACGTCAAAAATAGGCGGCTTCACCGGCTCCAGACTCGCCGGTTGCTGGCCCGAGTGAACATCCCACGCGGAGGCAGAAGATGTTGGATACGCAATGCCTGAATCCGGAGGAGCGCTTGGTCGCACCTCCGTTCCTTGCGAAGTTAGCACTTCGATGTCCGTAAGATCGTCACTATCACCAAACAAGCGCTGCCCGACTAAAGTATCTCCATGACCCGTTTGATGTCGGAGTGGAGGTAAGTTTGTCGAAGTGCGCAAAACAGGAGTAAGAGCCGGAGACTCATCATCCCGCTCACTGATAGGAGAAAGGTTCGAAGCAGGAGGCTGCGGGGCAAACGGAGGCGGAGCTGCAGAGGAAAGATCAGTCTCAGGAGCACCGCGCGGGTTCGGAGACTCGAAAAGTCCGCTATCTTGCAAGCCGGAAGGGTCATCGGAGATGCCCAGCCCTTCGAGATCAACCGGACTTCCATCAACTCGGACCCCCTGTAAGGTCAGGCTCGGGGTGAATGGGTTCCGTATCGGCCGGCCCGATGTTGTCGTCTCGTGAGTGGACATTCTTTAGGTCTATCTATAGGCTCCAATATAACGTAAAGTAGATATACTAGAGACAATAAAGTGAGGATGCAAATATTCGTATAAATGCAAACCTGGCGTGGCAGATAGTATTCTTAAGCAGAAACTATAAGCCGGCGAATAAATCAGAAATAAACCAGATTGATAAATATAAATCAACAAAGGGCGCAAGCCTATATGTTGTGCCTCGAGATATCCGCTTGCCCGCCAAGACGCCCGGATAAACTCTATTACACCAGAATGCACAGGGTATGTGCTACACGGTCGACGGGGTGAGCTGGCTAGACTCACAACCAACGTAAGTTATGTAATACAGCGGTAAGCTTTAGGGTTTCTATAATGTAAGCACCACTATGCCAACGTTACTATAACTACATTAATGCCCAAACTATGGCACTGGTTGCCAGTATCGTTCTCCACCACTTGAACCAATTAAGAACACACAATTAAGACATCTAAAATGGGGATGCGTCCCTAATGGCAACACTACCTGGAAAGGCGTGCGTCTCGCGTCTTTTAGAATGTGGATAGTTCCGGTACAAATATTCGATGGTGACAAATGTAGCACAAAGGTTGCTCGTCGACAAATGTCGCAAATAAATGCACCTTCGGATTGTGGCTGGTCTGACCAATACACAATCAACACAAATGAGAAGTCAAACGCTATACGCGGATGACCTTGAGTACAATCCTGAATCTTGAAAGTCTTTGTGGCAAATCGGCCGTGAGTCATGTGTGCTTGACAAAGAAAACAATGCTTACGAAAGACGGGCCAACTTGCCTTGATTTATATGATTATGTAAACATGAGGTCGCTTATCTTAAGTGACCACTCCGCCACTCTTCTACTCACATAGCGTAGGATCCAAGTGCATCTTTTCACTCGTGTGCTCCGTCTTATCCGAAAGATATTAAATGAGTCAAGTGTCGACCTTTGAATCGTGTTAACTTGTCGAGCGAATAGGTGAGAGATCAAGTGCGATTTCCATATGCGACCAAACGAATGCTACTTAGTGAAGCGATCTCGAACCTCCTTTGTTCGATAAGATAGCGACTATTTGCATTGCTTTTCTCAGTAGGTCCTTCTTCAATAAAGCTCTGGGGCTTCGGTTTCAGATCTTGAAAACATTTTGTTTATGTAATGCTCTTTTGCACCCTTTTGGAATGGGGCGATCTTTTCGCTCTCTCCTGAGCTATCTAATCTAGCAGATCCGCACTCTCCGATCTCTAGGACGATCTCTTCTAGAGTGTGATCTTGGTGTGGTCTGTCGTAGATCTAGATATGTCTCTCGTACGTGCTTGATGTGGCCTTATCACGCCGTGAGATTAATTAGGTCTCGAAATATATGATGAAATCATACCTATTTCGAGTAAAATGAAAGAATTTTGATTATTTACGATTGTCAGTATGTTGGCAGACCCCCCCTGTAATTCGCGAATTAGTCGTCTCTATCAAGATAGATTAGATTAATCGTGGATTACCTATATTCCGCTGTAGTTCGGCCGGAGAGTCTGGGCCTTGAGGAACGATTCCAAACAATAGTCTGCTAAAGACTATGCTTGGAGAACTACCAGTGAATATATAGTCTCGCTACCTCTACCCCTGCAACATCGCGACTTGGTCGGCCTATTATTGGGGGGCTTCCGCTTGAACCGGGGACCCGTGGGCTGGCGGAAAAAGTTTGCGAAAAAAAATAGCGCGAGGCCCGTTTTCTGCAACCCGTTTTCTGGCCTGGGGGATTCGTCTGGGCCGCCTTGTATTCCGCTGATTTCGGGGCGCAGCCGATGACCCCGAGAACCCTTTGCGTGCAAGCACCTCCCTGGGGGTCCACTTTTCATCCTCCCACGTGGGCCACGCCTGTACCTCCTAAGAAACGCCAGGGAAAGGCTTTCGAAAACAGCACCGGAAGCATGGGGCTCAAGATAGGGCACAAAACTAGTTAGAATCTTGTAAAAGTAGGGCCTCAAATGAGTTGAATTATTTCTCTACATTTTTTCGCAGCTCGTTTGCTGCTAGCAGCGTTTCAGCATGGTGGTGCCAGATGTTGCACTTTCTTGAGTCCGTGGGTGCTTCATTCTGAAAAGAAAAGCATCTAAGTGAGGACAGACCTTCCTCAAGTACATCACTCAACAAGAGACGCAGCACGAAAATACTAAGAAAGTACACAAAGCAAAAGGGGCCAAGGGGTGATGGGATGAAACGCAGGGGGTAACTCATGTTGCGACGCCAGCGTCTTTGAGTGAGTTCCTCAGAGGTGTGGAAGGGGAGGCTGACCGTGGACAGACGAGAGTGTAAGCCTGTGCTCTGCGGTGAAAGACTGAGCAAGGCGGCTCAGAACGAAGCGCACAGACATGAGCTAGAACGTGAGAAGATCCGGGAAAGATAGAGAGCCAGCAGCTGTCCAAAGTGGCCGACCTGTTCACGATATTGATACTGTAGAAAGTGGCTGGCTTTTCCTATGGTTTTCAATCTGGTTTCACAGGTGTGCCATCAGTTTTCACTTAAGTAGTAGGACGCCCTTCATCTTAGTCAGGTGCTCAGGTGTATGCTATAGTATACTATAGCAAATGTGGCTTTTCAGTATAATATATACACCAGGTCTCTCCTGCTTCAGCAGTCGTCTACTGTCTCTTCGTGTCTGCTTCAGTAATCTCTTCACTTAGTGCCGGACTCTCGTGATCCATAACTAGCCTCGTCTGTAGTTCAGTACTGAAACAAAAGACGCAGCATGCATCTAGGAGAGAAATGAGAGACCAAGAACGTAGCCCCACTCAGTATCTTCAACGGGGTCGCCTCCTTCTGAAGTTGATCACTTTAGATTGGTGCGAAGTCAGCTAAACACTGCACAAAAACGGCCAAGATTATCTCTTCCCGGTCGTGGTAGTGTTCCGCTTCGCGTTCGCTCTACGTTGACTCTTCTCGGTTTTTGTGTCTTTTTGTTGTCTTTCGTGTGGTTCCCCGCGCCCCTCCAGAGTCCACCGCAACAGCCTGGGAGTGTGTGTGGGGGGATTCTGGAGGGGTGTGGGGATTTTGAAGGTGCCTGAGGTTCTTGGCTCGCAGTAGTTTGGGGGTTTTCCTGAAATGAGGTCAATGGCCGGCGAGTGTTTTCCGGATTTTCATCCTGCCCGACAGGGTCGGATATTGTCTGGATTTTTGCAGTCAGTCAGCGTCCTCATTCAGAGTTTTCGTCTTCTCAATTTCCGCTGTTGTTGTTTCCGCCTTTTCCGTTACCATGGCCTTGCGTTTTGTTCCAACCATTCCAGTTATTGCCATTTCAGCCATTGTTACCTTTACCACCGCCGAAGCTGTTGCAGTTGTTCCCATTCTGGTTTGCTGGCACGGTTGAGCGCGCGTTGGTCATAGGCTTTCTTTGCGGGACGTGTGTGCTGCCTGTGTCCTGGCCTGTTGCACCAGTTACAAGGTGCCGAATTATTCCGATTCCTTCCACCACCTTTATCGCCGTTGTTGCGGTTCTTGTGGTTGTTGTTTTGATGATTGTGGTAGCCACTAGCTTTCCTCACTTGTTGTGCTCTTAATTTCTTGAGTGTTCTTCTCTTCTGTCTTTCTTGTTCTTGCAAGAAGATATCGCCAGGAGTTGTGTCATCATCATCATCATCATCATCATCATCATCATCATCAGAAGCAGGCCGATTGTGTTGGCTGTTGTTTGACTTCTTGTTCTTCTTGTTGATCATCAGACGACTGCCACTAGACTACTCTCATCGTGTTCGCCTTCTCTCTCTCTTCAGCAGTTGCAGGGAACGCTTTACCGGATGAAGGTTTCGCCACCCTGGGTGCCCCCTCCTCAGTTAGACGAGCGAGAGCGACTTCAAGGTGTTCGCAAATTTCTCCACGCGTGATGCTCCTGTCTTCCTGCATGCGTGCGATGGTCTCCCTGAACGTCTTGGAGAACATGCCTAGCAGCCAGTGCGTCAAGAGTTGCTTTGTTCTGTTCTTTACCAGCAGCAGGGCCAGCTTCCGGAGGATACAGGTCCGGCATGAGGTTCATCTTGTCACGGATCGCCGATGGACATGCCGCCGGGCCCTGGCCTGCGGAGCAGTGCGATCGTGAAACTTCACCCCCAAGCGAATTTTCTTGCTCATGCGCTGACCCTGACGATAGTCGACTGCAAGACGGCCACTGTCGTGCAAGTCGACAACCACTGCGCCCGCGTTCATCGCAGTAGAGTCCCGGTTCTTCGTGTAGGATTCAGCGGAGGTCTTGAGGGACTTCGGGGCGTTGTCATTCAAGTTTCTCCGCCTCTGCATCACTGTGTGCGTCGGCATTGTTATTGTTTTGGACTGGAAGGCCTGGGGCAGCTCCATTGTCTACGACATTGCCCAGGTATTGGACCAGTCCAAGGCGATCGGCTTCACGCGTAAACAGCGCGACACCAGCCGCGCCGATCTGACTTCTGTCCCAGTTTGGGAGAGATGTCTCGAGCTTCATTCTCGGGCATTTTGTGGGTTTTCTTTCCCGGGGTCTACTTCTAGCCTAGTCTACTCCTACTCTAGGGGATTCCTTCTTTCGCTTAGCTGGTCCCTCAGCTCACTTCGTTGCTGGCTTTAGCCGTTTATTTTAGTTCAACGCTTGGTGTGTGCTATTGGCTTGAGCCGGTTTCGCGTTGTGTAGGGTGCCAGAGAACGACTCGACGTCTCAAGCAGTAGGGACGTGAACGAGCAGTAACGAATGCAAAATCAAAGCCGCAGGCCCCGTTGGGTGTATCCTCAGGAATCTCCGTCAACGTTAAACCCTGGCGAGGTGTTTACGGAGCGGAATTATCTCACCACGACCCTTTATTTTTTGCTTCGAATTCACAAAAAAAAACTTTGATCGGCTGGGAGGCAGGCCCGAAAGAGGGAGAGCGGCGTCAGGGCTTGGCACAGTTGTGGAGAACACTAAGCAGCCAGAGCGTGGCCCGCTTTAGAGCAGCGGCCACGACGATTTGGGGGCGGACCACTCGGGGAAAACCATGGGAGAAAAGTGGGAAGACCGTCGAGCATTCATAGCGAATGACATCGGGAACCCTTCATCGGCGTCCACGCCTTCGACTCATGCCCAAATGGACTCGACCATGGGACCCGTCGGACTCTTGCCGACGAACCTGGCCCACTTTTGTGAAGGCTATCTGTGAGAGTGGTCAACAGGAGCAGGCCGGCCACATTTAGGTGGCCCAAAAGGGCTGCCCAGAAGGGTCCCGATTTCGGGAATTTTTCCACTTCTTGGTCAATTTTTGCAGAGGTTTGAGACTAGAGAAGTCCCATGGAAGGTGTAGCCTACCTTGCTTTCGAGAGAGTCGGGCGGCCCCTCCGCGTTTTGTTGATGGTTTTCCCCACATGCTCGGCCACACCTTGGCGGTGGCCGTTGCTCGAAAAGGTGCCGCCATCTCGTTCTCGAGTGGTGGCCGCGCCCGCGCCGAGCCCTGGCGCTGCTCTGCCCACCCCTAGTCTGTCCCGTAGCTACCTATCCAACCAGTCAAAATTTTTTTTGTTATTTCGAAGCAAACAATAGTATGTCCTGGCGAGGTAATCCAGCTCCGTAGTGTTTAACGTAAGGCACAAGCGAGGATGTGCCTGGTTTGATAGATCACAGGATGTCACGCCTGTCGGGTTTAGCGTTGTGCTGGATTTCTACCCATTTGGGGATCGTATGGGTATCATCAGCGTAATCACTATCATTCTGGAAGGGGTCGGACCAGAATTATCTACCATAGGTTGTTCAGACTTGGGCCAGTCAGATCAGGGGCATCGTGATCAATATCATTGGACTCGTGCTGAGATCAAGCTCACGCAGTGAGCACGATCTTGAGACAGTGACCTCGACCAACAGAAACTAATATTATCAAATAAATGCCATCTAACTTTTCTCGGTCTGTGGCTCAAGGTTTGGGCGTGACTTATCAGAGCACTTCCGAAGATGGACGATGGGCTGCATGGATTGCAATGCACCGCATGGACTGCATGGAGAGCCGAGCTAAGACGTGGTCTGGCTCAAGGGCAAGGGTGCTCTCCTCTGTTTGAACGCAGCGCCTCGTCTGACAGACAGGGCCACAGGATGGCCGTTGCCTTGCTTAAGTAGCTTGCTGCGCTCTGCCCGCCCGCAGATGGGGTGGCGTTTTATCTTGGTTTCGTATGGTCGTCTGCGTTGCCGGTGATGGGGAGTTGGTCTGTGGGGGGTGGGGGAGTTCTGACTGTGGTCTGCGGCTACTGCGTCCGGATGTGAGTTCTTCGCCGTTCCTTTGAAAGGTGAAACGCGACGACAGTAAGGGCGGGCCATGATGCCCGAAGGGCGCCACAAAAGAAAGGCAGCAGCTTTAAGTAGTGCACTCCTTGCAATGCATGCAATCCATGCCATGCATTTCAGGAATCTGAAAAAAGCGAATTACTCTAATTTATTTTGTTACTGTTAGTCTAAGGCACAAGAAAGAGCTGCCAAGTAGTGCGTACTGTTATTTTAGTTCCGACCGAATCAGCGATGACAAATAATGTGCAATCAGTGAAAACTTTACTGAAACGCAGCGACCAGCTGCTTCTAGTCTTCCTAGACTTGCAAAACTCTAGCCCTTATCCAGTGAGAGCGAGGACTTGCGAATTCTAGTCCTATTACTGGTGATCAGTGACTAAAAGGAACAGATAACTAGCTGACGCCTCTGTCTTCAAACGTAGCTTCGCGGTACTAAACTAGCTTACACAGTAAACTCCTAGCTGTCTAGTGGCTGTCACTAGGTTCATAGCTATGCTTGGGTCTTTGGGTCTGAGGATAGCCGGCCAGGCTTGCTGACAACCTGTAGCTGTACCGCGCTCCCCAGGTTTTTCGGGGGAGCTGCCTTGATGTTTCACAGGTGCAGCCATTTGAGCATTGCTAGCACAGCAAAGAAAGTCGGCAGAGTGCTCCCGCGCTTCGTCCCGCTCCGTGAGCGACTAGAAGTTGTGGCAGTTTTTTGCATGAGTGTAAGCGAAGGCTCCTTTATCGTTGAAAGCTGTGCAAAAAGTTGGCGCTTTTCGTTGTCGTGTATAGGTTAGGTGATAAAAGATTTTTGTGGGTGAAGGCGGAACGTCGTGGAAAGCGGTTGACAGTCCAGCAAGAGCGGACGGGGAAGCCATGGTGGATCCACATGCCGAGCAAGACAAGAAAGATGCCAAGTACGATCCAATTTCCAGAAAAGGCCTCAGCCATGTAACAGCCGGTGCGAATCACGAGGCGGTATCCGTGGACTTTTTTATATCTGGGAGAGCATTGTCTTATCGAATTTTGCCTGTGCGTGGAGGGGAAGGTAGGGTCCTTGATCCGTTCACGCTCTCGGTCCCTTATGAGAGCATTACGATCCGAAATTTATTTACCGTTACGCACGAAGAAAGTGGAAAGCAGGTTGACTACATTGCGAGCGCCTTTGTCTGCGATGGTTGCGAGACACCGCCGGAACATTGCATCACAAAGTACGAGCTTGCGATCAGTTCGGAGAGTCCTTTTGAGAATTCCTTTCGCCTCGATGAGTGTTTTAATCTGAAGGACGAAGGGCATTATGTTATAAGCGCCAAATCGTGCGTTTTTGAAAGTCGCGAAAGTACACCCACCACCCCAAGTTCTAGGCGTGCTTCCGCGATATATGGCCGATCCTGCTCTTTTTTCTACGACTGTCGGCGTCCAAAAACGCCATCCAGTGCGAGGAAGATGGAACTGGAAGAGAAGATTCGTAAAGAGGCGTCGGCACAAAATGAGAGCGCGAAGTCACAGATTACAAAACGGCGAGCCATCGGGGAGTGGCACTCCATATGGCATGTGCCTGATGACATGGGCCTCTCCGATTGCCTCACCAACCTTTATTATGGAAAAAGTACAGGATCAATTGAGGAAAACGCGAAGCTATTGTCCCAAGTGCACGATTTGAGTGATGAGTACAAGTGTGCCATTGCTGCAAAAGACAAAGATATGCTGTCGACGCTGGCGATGGAGCGAGACATCGACCTTCATACTATGTTCTACAAATACATGAAGCATGATCCGGAGACGAAATTGCTCAACGCGTACAAGCAATTTCTGAGATCTTTGATGGGAACATTCTTCCCGGATGAAAAATGGGTCCTCTATCAAGCGATGCCGAATATACGGCTTCACCTTCCCGGGTCGACTACCATCCCGCCACACCGAGATCAGGACATTGGAAAGGACCGCACTCCGCATCCTGCGGGAGAGCAAAACTTTATTTTCATGTTCTCGAAAGCCCAAAAGACTTCTGCGATGATTTTGGAGGCGAATCCAGGGCGCGGCGATTGGATTTTCATGGAGCAAGAGCCCGGAGAGCTCCTTCACTTCTGCGGAAATCGTTGCGTCCACATGAACGCCAACAACGAAACTGGCATGACGCGTGTGAGCTTCGACTTTCGATGCATCTCCCTGCAGAACTTCTACATGCATCAGAAACAGTTCGAGACTCGAACGAATGCGCAAAGGGATACGTACGCACTGGTTCCCGGCTCGTATTATGAAGTGATGCAGCTGTCAGATTCAATTATGCAAATGCGACCCAACTTCGGCGACGAAGAAGCGCAAGCGCTCGGGGAGTACATGCGGTCGGATGCTTTTCTAACCGAGCACAGCAAGGCCCGAGAATTGGAGAAGATGTTGTGTCAATTCATTGGCTGTAAACATGCAGTGCTAAACTGCAACGGCACTCTCGCTATTTCTAGCGCCTTGAATGCCCTCGGGATCGGACCGGGAGACCAAGTTCTGGCTCCCACCTACACGATGGTCGCAACCGCAAACTCGGTCCGCCTCCTCGGAGCGATTCCCATTTTGGTCGATGTAGATCCCGAAACGGGCACGATCACGCCTGAGATCGTTGCGCCCTATTTGGATCCCGCATCGGGTTTCGATATTGCTGGCGTGATTCACGTCTCATTGAACAACCGAAGTAAGGGATTGGAGAAGCTGGTCGACCTCTGTCATTCTCATGGCGTTCCGGTACTCGAGGACGCAGCGCAGTCGCTTGGCGTGCGGATGCATCCGAGGGCCAATAAGAACATTGCGGCGAAGCACCTCGGAACCTTTGGAGACGTGGGCACGTTTTCATTTTCTAGCCCGAAGATCATCTCCATGGGTCAGGGTGGGCTGATCGTGACCAACGACGATAGAGTGGCCGCTCGCCTGAGGAAGAACAAAGACTTCGGACGGGCTCGCCCAGGGGTGGAGGAATATCAAGAGTTTGGGGTCAACATGAAAATTACAGATATGCAAGCCGTTGTGGGAATCCAGCAAATGCACAAGTTGGAATATCGAATCCAGAAGATGCGCGCCATCTGGGAGACCTACTACGAAATCTTGGGGAACTACATGAGTGGCATCTTGCGAGACGATCCACTGTGGATACCGTGGTTCATTGAAATTTTTTTGGAAAGCCAGGAGCTCCGTGATAAGCTGGCGGCATGGCTGAAGAAGTTGGGTATTGGTACTCGAAACGTCTACCCAAGCATACACCTACAGCCATACTACAGCGAAACGCCTGACGTGGAGCGCGGAAACGCGACAAGAGAACCAGACGCGACATCCTTTATCTGTCCGAATCTGCAGCTCCTATTGGAACAAAAAAAAAGAGGGAGCGTGGAGACCATTTTGCGAAATCATCAAGCCGAGAAGCCTGTGGCTCGCAAGATCATGGAAACGGGCCTGTGGCTTCCGAGTCAGACGAGCCTAAGCACGGAAACGGCGAGACAAATTGCACTCACAATCTCGGCTTACCTCCGTACCCCAGCAGCATTAAAGATGTGCGCAGACAAGACAATGGAGCAACGACACCAAGAACTCGAAAGCAGTCGGGGCGCCCTTTTTGGCAGGAATTAATGCCCACGGCGTCGGCGACGCTTGACATGAGATTTGTTTGCACTCATATTTACAGGGAGTGCCGCTGCCGAATTCTGTGGCCCCCTGTAGTTACCTCAGAAGTGTTCGCGTCGAAGTGTCTGACATCCACGCAAAAGACTACTTTCTGCTCTAACGTCAGAGGAAGTGGAAGCGTTGATACGGTCTTGCCCATTCGGTGTCAGAGCTGCCAGCGCTTCGCCGTGGCAGCGTGCTCACTCCCTTTATGGGTGCGTAGGCTAGCGACAAGACATTGATTGCGCAGGCTGGCCCATGACCTACGCGGACTCTCGAAGGAGGCGCAGAGCCGAAGTGAGTGCGCGCCCTTTGCTCCCGCTCTGTCTATCTAGGGCCGCCACCTCCTCTGTGAGGACACATTAGTTTGCAACTACCCAGCCACAGAGTGCGGAGCCATCTCGCCGCAGAGCAGCCCCTGGAGGCTCGTCGACTGCAAGTAGGGGCTAGATGTTCTCGCTGCTGTTCTCGTTGTAAGTGGTTCGCAAGGAGATGAAGGATCGCTGTCGTGGTTTGAAGCGTCAGCGGGCTAGCCCCTTTTTCATGGGATGTTTGTAGAGGGTTGTTGGCAGGCTTGGGCGAAGTTGCCCACTTTCTCCAAAATTAGTCCTCTCGCAGCACTCGTCTCAGTCCCGTATGAGGATTCTTTTCATCTCATGCAAAAAAGATTATTGACTATCTAAGGTTCAGCAACTTATTCAGAAGTGCGGGGGGACTGCGGTAGGACTGCGCTGACAAAACAGGGGTGGAGAACTGCGGCACGGAATAACCGACGCCCCAGCAAGCTGCTGCGCCTGGCTTTGGTCAAGCATCAGACGCGCAGCGGGTGGCGGACTTCAGCGAGCGCCACGACCGTGGACGAAGCTGGCCCCCCACTCTGCACGGAAAGGGTCGCCGCTTCGAGCCGGGTCGGATGCAAGTGGGGAGCTACTGTTGTGGTGGGAATTGTGAAGGGCGAACAGCGCTGACCAAGGAGAGCAGCTGCGGACACGGCGTGAAGATAGGGTGGGGCCTGGGTCACTATATTCTTTGGAGTTGGCCCGCAGCGTATTCGCAGCGCACCGCTTGGGCCTGGGGATGCTAGTTAGGGGCTTGCCTTTGGTTTCTTTACTGGCAAGACGTGGCCAAGTGAGCAGAGAGGCATAGCTGACAACTGCCAGACACAGCGCAACCGAACAACAATGCTAGTGGAAGTAGGAAGATACGCCATCGATCGACCAAACAGCGCAGCCACCGCACTTTTAAAAAATGTCACCAAGACTACTCGAGTGAGTGGCATTCAGCCGGCATCTGCTGAGGTCAAGTGCCTCATTGGAAAGTGGACGGAAAAATGACCCACGACAGCGAGCGCGACAAAGGAGAGACAGCAGCCGGTAGCTGCGACGAGGTGCCAGGGGCAGAAAAATTGCTCAGAGTAAGAGCTGCAGAGCCGCAGTCCTCCTCGGCAGTCAAGAAGGCCCCACTTCCTCGATCTTCGAGTAGTGCATCAACAAGAGGAGACAACAAGGCGCCGAAGGAGGCTCGCATCGCGCTACAACCAACAACGACCATCGGCCAAGCGTGGAAGTCTCCCCATAGAAATCGCACGCGAGAGCCTAAAGAGGTAGTAGGAGAACAAAAACCTGGCGCCACGAAGAAGGTCGGCTCGGTTGGCCAGTCTTTCCTTATTTCACGGAATTTAGCCGGCCCACCGAAGCGAGTGCAAGAGAGTCGCCCCACGGTCTGCGTAGCAGTATAGCGGAGAGCGTTAGGCACAACACCACATCAGAAGACCAGGAAGTGACCCACGAAGAGAAGGGCACGCTATCCGCCTTTCTTTGCCATTTCTGAGATCGAGCGCATCGAATCTACAAGAAGACAGATTGCGGACGCACTTCAAGACGTCCCCGCAGGAGTAAAAGGGGTGCACATAAACGGCGCGTGGCGCGATTCTGCGTCATCGTCTTCGACTTCTAGATGGCAAAGAGTCGACAGCTCTGCGAAGCCGTCTAGAATAGCAACGGCCAAGACGCTCACTTCTGTGCTGTGGAGAAGATCAAGCATCTCTGAGCCCGACCCTGCCTCTCGTGTCATTTGTGAACTTCCCGGGGGCTTCTTCCTCATCGAAGAGTAGAAAAGGTGGCGGAGTTAGGTCTTTGCGGATAATGAACTCGAAGGGGGGTGAAAAACTCAAGACAAAACTCCACGCGAGTCGAAGAGTCAGCGCAGTTCTTTATTAGTGTAAGGCGTTCGACTTGGTGGTCTAGGAACGCGAAACAAAGGAAAAAAAGTGGCTGAGTGTCCAAAAAGATTCGCCCGTCGTCGAGCGTGAGTGGGCAGGAGTGATGAGCGAGGGCACGGTGACGGGATGTCACGAATTCTCGCGGCTTTGCATTTTCCTGCTAGGTGAGTAGCGCCACCGCCTTCCGAGCTGCCGCACTCGCGGCCGTGCCGGTCTCTCTGTTGGCCATTTATTTCCCTGCTTCTGCGGATTATGCGATCCGCGAGGCTTCGCGTGTCGGCATTCCCGACCGGTTGGCGAGTGGCTTACTCGAGGCCGCGCTAGCGCGAGTGGACTTTCTTTGAGGTTCATGTCTAGGGATTCACTCAATTTCGGCGTCGTCCATTTTCCGCATGGTTTTGCATGTGCAGAGCACCACGGCAAGCTGCTACAGCATGGCTGCTAACTGTTGCTTGTTCACGCGGGACAGGGCCACAGCCGCTCTCTCCCTTCGTCTGACTGTATCGCTTCCTGTGTATAACTGGCCCTAGCTTTAACCGCCATAATTAATGTTCCCTAGCTTAATTATTTACAGGACACGTTGCTACGCGATAAAAAACCCCACGCGAGTCGAAGAGTCAGCGCAGTCTTTTACTAGTATAAGAGGTTCGACTTGGTGGCCTAGGAACGCGAAAGGAAAAAAAAGAATTGGCTGAGTGTCCGAAAAGATTTGCCCGCCGTCGAGCGTGAGTGAGTAGGAGGGATGAGCGAGGGCACGGCGGTGGGATGAATGTCGCGAATTCCCATGGCTTTGCATTTTCCCCACCCTTCATTCTGCTCTCTGATTCAGTTAGTCAGACAGCCCTTCCCCATGCTCCGTCTACTCTCGCGCGTGATGTTACGGCAGTCGTTGGCTAGCTGACTCCTCTCCCTTCTTTCTCGCTGATCTAGGTGAGTTTTACTGGTGTGAACTGACGTCAGCTATCCCTTCAAAACCAAGAAAGCCACTCCAGACACCATCATGGATGGCGACGGCGTCGACGATATGCTTAGGGCAGCAATGGCTGACCTCAGCGGTGAAGATATCGCATCCGACTCGTCGAACGGAAACCAAGCTGCATTGGCTGGAGCTCAGAGCTGTGCACCCGCAAAATCGACCGGCGATCTCTTCAATGAAGGCGCGGCTGACCTGAGCGAGGACTTTGCTGAGATTCAAGAAGAAGAGAGCCAGAGTGGCCGCAGCAAATCCCAAGCAGTCAACCCTCGTCCCCAGTAGCCCCCCCTTGCGGGTGCGACCGATTGTCACGCGTCTGGCGTGAATTCCTTGGTTGTTTGTGTCGCAAACGTTTCTGGTGCGACAGATTGTGGAGCCCTACCAGTTAACGAACCCCAGTCCCTTCTACGACAGCCCTCGCCCTCTATTCACCTGCGACTCCGTCCCTGGACAGCTGAGGCTGTTAATCACAGAAGCACTCGAATCAACGAAAACCAGCAAGAAAAACGAACCAGCCTTGAGGTTAGCCGTCAATCCAGCTAGGTTCTTAGCTGCTTTTGAGACTGTCACTCGACGAGCTGGCCAGACAGCGGAGGACGCTAGGCCGAAGCGATGCCCTCAGGTTATGGCCGTATTAGGTAACCATGATGATGATTGTGCCACTCCCCTCCCTCTGACGAAATCCCGCGCCTTAAAATTCCTGACAGGCAGCACCAGTTGGGGGCCAGCAAGGTAAGGCCCCGCGACGCTCAGCAGCGCCGACGATTATTTGCATTCGGTCACTGGGAGGCTACGGCGTGTGTGGAGTGGGTGCATTCTATCTGACGCAGATATGCACGATGTCAATTCTGTGGCCAACAGGCAGCGACGTGCTGGGTGGTTTATCCACGACCCGGCCCCTGGCATTTTGTTCGAGGAGATTTTGGGCCTCGCGGTGTTTGGTCTCCCTTCTGCGTCGGCATTGGCCATCGCTTTTCAGTTTGGTCTTCATCGTAATACCCTGCTGGCTATCAACCAACTTGGTGGCAAGTGCGAATCTGGCACGGCTTTGCGACGCGATTTAATTATCCGACGAAGAGGACGACGCAGCTGGGATTTGTAACCCAGCTGGCCCCTCCTCTGTGTTTGATGACTCCGGCAGCCAATGCCTCCCCTTCTCCGGCGATTTCACCTACAATGCACGCAGCAAGGTGCTCCTCTTGGACCTCAACAGGCACACTCTCAAGAGCAATGTCCAGAAAAGGACTTGCGTGAGGTGTGTCTGCGATGCCTCCTGCCCGGCCCTGCAGAGTCTGCGTGTTTACCACGCCGCGCCGTTTCTCCGAGACAAGAGCGAGTGGAAGCGCAATCATGTGGACAACCTCGAGCGTCGTTTTAGCTTGCGCAGGACGTATATGGCCCGAGTCGGTTGCCTCCAGCACCTCATGGGATGCGGGGTCTCGGATGCAAGGGCGGCGTCACGTCTGAGGTGGCAAAGGGAGCAGGTGGCAACTTATTATAATAGGGGCAACGACTACAAAGAATGCAGACGCAAGGGCTTCTGCTTCGTTCCTGCGTAGGGTCTGCTTCATTCATAAGCTGGCCGGCGCTTGGTTTCGCGTAGTCTCTTGCTTTGCTCTTTCAGATTTCTGAGAACGTCGCAAACTAGGTGACTACGTGGCGTGAAAATTTCGATCACGAACCACACACAACGAGCGCCACACTTATGAGGTGCCACGTGGTGCCCATAGTTGGGCCATGTCTTGCGGTTTTTTGCAACCACGGACGCCACGGGACCGGACGCAGAAACGAGCTCCAGGCCGACGGGGTTCCATGCCCATTGGAGAGGGTGAGTGTCGAGTGAGTCTATTGTATGCGCAAAGCTGTCGCAAAGTGACTCGACTTCCCGCCCAACACCTCTCAAAATGTCGAGGGATAGGCTGGGGCTCAACCTGGTAAGATGTGGGCACGCGCCTTACACTATGTTGCTACTCATCATCATCTTGCTACTAATTCTATTCCTTTTCATTTCCTTCCTTCCTTGTTTACATCCTCTGGCACGTGTTGTCTCATTCTACTTCTTCAACGAGACGCCATCTCCTAACTAGCAACTGGAAGGCGCAACTACCTACAATTCCACAGTCCACGCTTGCCTCGGCTTGCGCAACATTCCAACATGGCAAACCCTCCGGGCAGCAGCCCCGTAGTTCCCGCGGCCGAGTTCCATCTGCCTCTAGCAGACGCGATTCGCGATACTGAGATCCAGAACCGCCGCAACTCCGTTGCCTTCATTCCGCGCGTGCATCGTCTACCTCTACCGAATGCGAAGGACTTCAGGAAGATCAGCGACGTGATAAAGTGCAGGAATATTGAGACCCTTCGACATCTATTGTCAGGCCGACTGAATCACAATGCTGCCATGATCCTCTGACGTCTTGGCCTTCTTCTCTGGTGTCACTTCAGGCTGTGAGAGCCTAGGAGTTTGGTCGAGTGTCTACGATCTGAGGCAACAAAAGCGATCCCCTTGCATCAATGTCAGTGAAGTGGTCTACTCCAATCGTATCGTGCATCTTTTCCACGTGAATCGCCTGCGTTCGAATCCATGAGGATGAATCTCTTGCAAATACTTGAACCGCTACGAAATCCGTATGAAAGCAGATGCAACGATGAGACAGCTAGGCCAGAGCCTTGTGATGATGGTGCTCCATCTTTGCCATGATTTCACTACCAAACACGCAGTGCTAGGTAGTCCGAGTAAACTGACAAGGGCTCCCTTGGGGCAATAGCTTGAATAGCTTCGCGGCCAGCGTGTCGATAGAATCGCGTCCCAATAGTCTACCTAGAACTTGAAGCATCGACTTCTTTGCAAGTCGTAACTTTTAAGCTAGTGGCTAAGCTGTTGCGCTCATTTTGCTGAGGGCCTAGGTTCGAGTCCACACCTCACATTCACGCAAGTCGAAATCCATCATGCCGCCTAGTTTTTCCCAGCATCTAGTGCTAGCAACAAAATGGGCGCTGCCGTCAACGATTTCACAGCGCCAGCTTTAAGGCTGTTGGCCGTGCAACTGGGTGCTACAGCTACTGGCCAAAGAGATGAGCTTCTTGGTGCGATTCAAGCTGTGGGCATGGCGTATCAGCCTGGTAACAACGCGATGCAGATCCCTATGCCGAATGTTCAAGGCTGGGCAGCACTAATGGCTCTCAATCAAGACGGCACGAAGGCCGAAGTTCTGGCGCGGATTTGGGAACACCCACTGAACGCTCAACAGGATGGCGCTGGGCTTGGGGCGCCACCTCCACCAATTCAGGAACCACCGCAACCGCCACCCGCTGCTGGGGCTGGAGACCCTGCTCCCGAAGCAACTGCTTTGGCCAACCCGAAGGACGTCATGCCTATTCCGCTGGAGGAAATTCAGGATAGCAGCGCCTTTCAGAGGTGGCTGAAAGATGTTCGCCGCGTCGGGTTCTGTCAGGAAATTCTGGATCAACTTTTGCTCGGTGCGAGCCCCGATCTGAATCCGCGCGACAGCCAGCTTGTCCTTCTCCTACACCGGGTGGCCAAAGCATCCCTTGGCAAGGACCTCGGAAACCACGTCGAGGCTTCGATAACCGCGCGTCAGGTGGTGGACAATCTCCCCGGAGTTCTGAGTGAGCTTTTGCGTTTGTCGCTCTACTTCGCGCAAGCACAGGTCGAAAAAGAGATGACCGAACTACGAAATGCGCGCTGGCGCAAAGGTGACCTGCTCACCTTCGTTGGCGCGCTGAAGTCCATGGCGGCGAAATGTGGGAACGGACTCCCAGTAGGTCCTGTGCGGGAGCGCGTGATCCGTGATGTCGTGATCAAAAACGTATCGACTAAGGACCCAACAGTAGCGCAAATCGTTCGCGATTTCAAAGGCTACCCCGCTGGCGCCCCGGGTTACGGTGCAGAGGAGCGCGCGGGAAAGTGCTCGAGGATCATGCTCCTGGAGCACTCCAGCGAGCAACAGGCGCAAGTCTTCCCCGCTGAGTTGGAGGCGCCGGAGCAGAAGGAAGCCGCAGCCAACAGCGCGGAAACCAAGAGTGAGG